TAGCGCGGTCGATTTTAATAATGATAAAAAACCACACACACACATCCTCTGCGCGTGGGCATCAAAACGGAAATTTCGTCCAACTTGTGTGCCAAAAGATATTCAACCTCGGACGGCTGGGGTTTTGGCTGCGCCTAGAGCAAAGATGTCTCGATTAGAGTCTACAGCTAGTACACTCCTGCGTTGTCTACAGACTTTCGGCAACATTTGACTTTGCTCGCTGTTGTGTGATCAGGTGAGTGTGACCTCTGATTTCCGCCAGCGAGAGAGCTGCGCAGGCATCACCCTACTATCACACTCGAACGGGAGAGCTTTCGTTCTTCTACAGATGTGTCTTTCGTTTCTTCCTTGGCGTTCGAAGCCATTTTTCTTTGGTGAACGACTCTGGATCTTTCGGGCCCGAAAACTGGGCCCACATACTATATACTACACCTGTTCGTAGATACTGTGGCCTACATTCGACTATGCGTACCTAGAACTACTGTCGTCTACACGTGTAACCTTGGAATATAGGAATAGTCTACATACATGCCGATCCTCCCCAGTTAGACATTTGTTAAGCAAGCGTTAGACCACCGTCCGTGGCCGTCGTGCACGCAAAGTCCATGCCGATCTTCTCGCAAAAATGCTTGCTACAATTAGTTGTAGACTACAGGCTAATGGAAGGCGGCATCATGGTTTTTGTGTGTGTGAGCGATCACCACGAACGGTGGTCTTGCAGGCGGTGTACTTGCGTTGCTAGGGAGTTCATTACTCCACAAGGCGTGTGTACTCCGCATTCGTAACTACGGGCGCTTGTTTGCAAAATGATACTGAGGGAAGGACCGAGGATGAGCTCTTCTCGCGCAAAATTATTGCAGCACAGACAGGCGCACAGTATATTTTTCTTGTGCGCTACCCCAGAGGAAGCCCGGCAGCCAGAAACGGCGAACGATGGGTTATTAAGAGGACGACGATTTGATACGTCCTGGTGTCTGTAGGTATTGTCTCTCTCAAGCGAGGCGCGGCCACGATCTATTCGCTTCTCGACCGACTGCTAACGGCTCAAGGGCAACTCCAGCTGTAGACTATACGGTTGACTTGCCCTTTGGTAGGCAGTCTGTAATGTTGGCGCTAAAAGGAACGGTATCTTCTTGAACAAGTTAGTGGTCTCCCCGGTGTCTGCCGTCATGCGCGTCGACTTCTTGACGATTTTTCCGCGGGCTTTGCTCGGGCCTGAATATGACGTGCGAACGAAACCGTTCCGAAAAATATGTCGTGTATGAATGCGTGAATGTGTAAAACCACTCAGCTAGCTCTCAGGGCATACGCGTCTCGTGCACATGGTTACCTGCAACGTGTTTCGGTTCACCTTGAACAAGAAGAGCCTTTAGCGTGTAATCCCTCAATATTGCAGGTACAGCTATCCGAAGGTCCCTGAGGCGCTGGGAGTACTCTGCACAGGTCGATGGTGGAATCGGAGCATCGATGGTATGTGGCATCTCGTTTTCATGGTAAAGTTGGACAGGACCTTATAGGTAAAAGCACTTCTTGCGCTCCCCACTGCTGTGACACAAGGAGAGTTGCACCACCGCAGGTGCGGTGAAGGAGGCGTCTGCTTTCACACACAGAATTTGTTTTGGCTACTCTGGTGAAAATATTGTGCCCGAACAATCGGGTTCGCCAGCGAATCGTTCGGTTGGCTTTACACACATGGTTCCCGCGCGGGGCATTGTGGGCGGAGGAGAGATGGATAGACTGGGAGATGCAAAAGAACAACCCTGTTCCATGTAGGTTTGGAGATGGCGTTGGGTGTTCGTTCGTTGTTTAGTTATTCGCCATTCGACCGATGATTCTAAAATGCTGTGAGAATATTTGGTTCCCCACGGCGTGCTGCTGTTCGGCGCGGCTTCCTGATTGGATATTCCCATGCTGTCGCAACGGAATATCTTCTTCGAATTTTTGGCGGCTGCTTTCAGCTCTACGTTCAGTGACTTTAAACACAAATAGGCCGAAGAGAGTGAAGAAGAAAATGGGCAGGATGCATTTTCTTTGCTAACGTGGTACGTGATAAGTCGTGGATGGCCAAGGTAGATCTTTGTTTACAGGCCGAGATACGATACTACTTGCTTCTTGCTTTCACTGCCGTCCTCAACGGAGCGTTGTAGCCCGCGACAGCAAAGTGCGCACTCTCCAGTGACAACGCCTTCATGGTGTGGTGAAAATTGCGGGCAGTCCGCGATAGCTGTAGCAAGTGGTCATTTAGCCAAAGAGGATGGTAAAGAGTGTTTGCTTTCGTGTCCCCACGGTGCTCATTTCTGTTTTGGGGTGTCCAGCAGTTTTCATTTGCGCAGGGCTGTGTAACTGCGTGTATGTCGTATCCATATGGCCTCTGATTGTTCTTGTCGCCACAGCTCACTACGTGACACGGAAATTTGTCCTTTCAACACGTAGACAATGATTGTGATGCGTACATGTTGCTTTTGGCGGACTCTTGACCCTCCTAGTACTGGAAGCCCAAACGGGGACACTTTGGAACACAGCACTCAAATGCCTATTTACCGTACTGTAGTCACCCTAGGCTCCGCTGTGTGCAACGCACGTGAGAACCCGTGGTCTATCATGCTTGGCTGAGGCTGTACGCTGTGTGATACGCTGTGTGATGCCTCTCCTGGGCCTCTGACTTGCTGTACACATCTCCCAACCCGCGTGCCCTCCAGGTCGTAAAACTGCACATCGCCTGGTACTGGAAAGTTTTGCTAACTTGGCTTCAGTATGAAAAGTGTCCCCATGTGGTTTGGGGACACTTTTCATCCTGAAGTCAAGCCACCCGTTGTTTGGCAAGGAGCTCAGGTCCTTTGGAGGGACTGCAGCCCCTCGACCAATGGCTGACCATTTTTTTTGCGACATTTTGTTTTTTGCGGAGGGACTGGGTTTTAGGAGGGTTAAGGGCGGGGCTCTGATGTGCTCAGTCAAGAAGCTATCAGCGTGTTCATTGGAGAACGCCCAGAACGTTAGTGGAAGTAGTTTGATGTACCGCTGCCGTGTGGGTGTTGACAACTCCCGCACGTAATCGGAACAAACGAACAACCTCTGGGCGACATGTTCAATATATCAACCACATAAGCACACCCGTCACAACCACTTTTAAAGTCCAATGTCTGGAAAGGCGAGACTGTCCACGGCAACGTCTGTTTGATGGTAAAAATACTCTGCACAAATACAAAAGACTGCCGTCAACAGACAGTCACCGCCTATTTTCAATACATATAGATGGTGAGCGTCCAAGCCCAAATGGAGTCCCTTTGGACATATTCTGCATCGGGCAACCAACAATGTCACACTTGTCAACGCAGCATGTGTCGCTATCTGACAGGTTATTTGCAACTTCATCTCTCCCACAAAACATTGCTAACAAGGAAGACCCAAACAGTTGGACTGTTACAGCTTAAACGCGCTCAACCCGGCTTAGCGTGAACTGAAACGCTGGTTTGACCAACCTTCCGCAGCTACAGTTGAACCCTTCAAAGCTCCACGCCCCGAGCTTGCTACCGCACACTACTGTTCCCTTCTTCCCGGGACAGCAAATTTTGCCGGAGCTATGAGAAAAATGCCTGGAATGCCGCCCCCTGCCAGCAACACCAACCCAATCCAGGGCTTCCGTAAACACAGAGGTGCAAACCCCTTTCCCCGCTAAAGAGACTACGCTTTTACCACAAATATTGTTATTATGGGTCACACCTCCCCCACGACGAACGGTTGGGTCGGGCCGGCCCTTCGCTCCGCGGACCACCGTATTTGTTGAACCAGCTGCGGCGATGGCAGCGGCATCTCTCGCCTTTATCCAGGAGCTGCCGTTCCCGTGCTTGCTGAAGGAAGCGAAGGTGCTGTCGCTCGCGGCTTGGACAATGGGATGGAGGTGGTCGAGGACGTTGCTGTCACGGAACAGCGGGGCGCGGCACGCCTTACAGCGGTACAGGCGGCCACAATCCTCCCCTCCTTGGAATGCACCGTTACGCCCACCTTCGCCGCCGTAACCGCCGCTGAGTTTTAAGCCGCAAGCGAACAAGAACCATCGATACGTTGCGGCCGCCCAAACCGTGGTGTTCGTCGAGGGCTTTGATTCCCGGCTGGTCCCGATAGATTCTTCTGGCGCCACTCCTTCGCCTCCTGCTGATGGGGCTGTTGGCCCAATCTCGGCCTTCTTTGTGGCGGGTAGTCTGCAGCCGAGGTCGCTATATAGGTCCAACTGAGCCTGGAAGCCCGGGTTAATGTGGACCGTAGGCTGCGCTTCTTGGACAAGCTCAATGGCTTGAGCCACGGAGAGGCCCTTGAGTCTCATGAGGTACGCAGCCACGATGGTAGGACTCCTCGACTGCGCGTAGACACAGTTGACTAAAACGTTCTCTTCTCGGCTCATTCCCTCCTCGATGAAAGACACGCAGCTGTCTAATCGCCCCAGCAGGTTCTCTGAGGGAACGTCTAGAATGTCAACCTCGAGGTAGGAAATGTTTTTGCTGCAGTTGCTGTGGGCTTCATCATCATCACCCTGATGAAAGGCTGGTGTCCCGACGCAAATAATCCTTGACACTCGGTGGCGTCGCAACAGCGATCGATCTTGAGCGGCTTTCTGTGTGCCGACAAACAGCCGCCCTCGCTTCTCGGGTAGTACAAGGTACAGCCCATCGCTTGCCATACGGAGCAATGAGGCACAAAAAGGTGTGCTTTTCAATGTTGCACCCTGGGTGGTAGAGGGTGGAAAAGCAACGGCCGAGTTCAACCTTAACGCCCGCTGGTACCTTGTAACACAGCCCGATAGTGTAGCGCTCGATCAGGAGGGTGTGTTGTGCTCAATCAGGCAAGAGGTGCATACATACTTTCATACCTCCTGGCGGCATGCGGTGTAAGTTGAGAACCAAAAAAAGTTGATCATGAAGACCCCGGGGATGGAATGTTTCATCCCCTGAGAGCCCGTTTGAGTCTGCAGAGCGGAAACCCTCGTACATAAGAGCGTTTTCTCAGAAGCAACAAACCAACAACCCTTGGTCCGTGCGAGAGAGAGACTGCGGATCGCATGGATTCTAACCATGCTCCTCACTATGATGTCGGGGATGAAATGGAGATTGATCTGCGGCCGGGCAGAGACAGAAAAGGCGGTACCACTACGAACGCGATGCACTCGGGCAGCCCAAGAATCGAGAGTGGATCGCATGTTCCCACAGCAGCCCGCCCAAGCGAACGCTGCGGCCGTTGTTTCCGGAGAAAATGCGTGAGGTGCGCTCGTGGCTGTTCGCGACGCGGTTACTTGTACAACGGTTTATGTCGATCCCTTGCTGTGTTGTTCGCGCTCATGTCACGTTTGTAACTCCTGGGTCCTCCCGCCGGCAGCTGCTGAGTTCATACGTTGCAGAAAATCCCCCCACCTATTCCGGCGGCTCGGAGTTTCAGACACATGGGGGCCGCGGCCCTTCATCGCCCCTGACAGTATGCATAGATGCATGGATACCCACGGAACTCCATTTCCAAGCGTCGTATGAATTTCGCATAGTAACAAAGAAGGTCAATTTTCCGGCAACGTCTGGTTCCGTCGGTGGCTTTATTGTTGTGAAGTCGGCACCGTTGACACGGCGGTATTCAAACTCATGCGGGGGAACTCGTTACAGCAGTAGTCCTCATCTGCGAAATCGAAGAGCTTGCAACCTGACGGTTCTGCGGCTTGCTGGTAAAAAGTAAAAGTTGCAACTTGTGGAGTGAGCTGCTGTTCCAGAGCTTGCCAGAGGGAGCTACTGCTGGAGTAAAAGTCTCGACATTCCCTCCGAGTGCCTGGGTTGTGAGGTATTTATCCGCGTGCAGACGGCTAAATAAATGTCGGGGAAACTGCACCCAAGGGACAGATCATGAGCTATAATAGCTCATATACGTCCGACAGACCACCTCGGAGCAAACAACTGAGATCGTCGATGTCCTTCCGATCACCTCGGAGCAAACAAACCCCGATCACCTATATCCTTCAGATCGCCTTGGGCAACCATACCCCGATCACGATGTCCTTCACATCACTCCCGGCAAACAATCCCCGATCACCTACAGTATGTCCCACAATCACCTACGGCAAACATGCTCTCATCACCTTTGTCCCACGTATCACCTCGGAGCAACCATACTCAAATCACCCATATCCCACAGATCACCTCGGAATAAACTTACTCAGATCACCAATGTCCTACAGATCACCAGGGAGCAAACATGCTCAGATCACCCATGTCGGATAACAAGGGACATACCGTCCGAAAGAGCTTCAACTCGATCTGTAGGGATCAGACCTCTCCTATGTGCGAAGAGCTTTCAAGTGTATCGAGGGGTATGACAAACGCTAACGCTGTCTCGAACTGTGTAACAGTAACATTACCACACATGTTGCTCTGCTTTCCAGAGCGATCTCATGTACAGACGGCTCACTTGTCAGTACATCCCGGAGCACGACTACACCAGTTTGCCACGGTCGAATGCATACGTCAAGAGGTCTTGACTGACTCAAGCACTGGTGTCCTCGCCGACGACTGAAGCGATTCTGAGCTGTGTTTACAGCCGCAACCACACTTTCAGTTGGCTACTTACCCCGCCCCACGCTCACACCCGTCTCCGCCCCGCCCCGTGACCTGGCCCGACGCTGGATATCCATCCTCTCCACTTCTATGGCGGACGTCCTGGGAAAGGGTGACGTTTCGCCTGATAAACCTAGGGTTTGCCGCCGTCTTCCTGTCATCGGCAATACTGCAGTACAACGACGATGACGGTATCGCATGGGCAGCTCTGTACTTCATGGGTAAGATACATGAGACCAGGAGATTAGGCAACATCTGTATCAACCACTAGCGTTATCAGCGACCGACCCTTCTAGGAGAAGAGTGTTGCCGCTTGGTGATCCTGTCGTTGTAATCTTGTCTCTGATCCGTCTTCTGTTCACCGCCTTCGCCTGCCCGGTGTTTCCTCGTTTCCACGTAGACAGTGTCGGGCATCCACACATCGTCCACGCCGTTTAGAACATGTGGCATGACGTGCTCCCGATACGAAGCGCCTTCACCAAACGGTTGTGTTCGTTGCGTCGCGTTGCACCGCACCATTAGCTACGCGTACAACGCATCCTGGTACAGATAAGCCTTCACACAAGCTACGACCCGTAAGAACAACGTCCTGCAACCGTGGTTTTCGACGTTCACCGCCGCACGCTACGATGCAGCCGCCGTGTTCTGCATTCTGTCGGAGCTAAGCTGGAGACATCTGCGGACGTTCTTGGTGCTGCCAACGTTGTGGATGTTTACTCTGTGCTCCTGGATCGGTGAGAACGAGAGGTCATCCCGCATATGCGCCGCCGTGATACGCATGCAAGCCATGGTTGTACATTGGTTCTCGTTGTACACTACGTCCCCTTTTGTTCGATAGCTAATTTCTGGCGATGTTTTGTTGTATTCTTCGAGAGTGTGCGTGCGCCTGCAGAGCTACCAGAAGCGAGTGGCGTGCATCGGGCAGAAGTTTCCTGTTGATACATTTGTAGCGTTGCCCTCCCAACCCCAGTGGTTTTTTTTTGGTCAAGCACCGAATACTTCATTGGGCGGGCTCGACGTTTTAATTGATAAAAACCAGCGTTACGAAACCGTGTTTATCCCGCCTCACGCAGCTCTCGCAGCGTCGTAGCTGTGGCACATTCATGAGGTGTTTCCAAGCGACGACGATTCTGCTTTTGGTGCCCACCTCACCCAACTTCAGACCGCCCTCCTTCAAAAGAACCAAACTGTCGATGTTTCGGGATATTGGATGCTCTTATTGCCGCGGAATCGATTCAGCGTTGTGCACGTGAAAACAGCAGTTGAGCTCTGACTGAATCAGCTCTTTTTCTGCGATACAACAGCCGCATTTTCCATTCCAAACGGTATGCGAACACCAGCACATAAACGTCTGCTGGGTATAACTCTGTTCTTTTGCGCACCCTCGCAGGAGCCGGGTATGTCCTGATTGCCCAGCTGCTCGTGGGCCACGCCGAGGGAGGGGCGTCGGGCGAAGACGCCATGGATTTTTACGGGCTACTGCTGGTTTCTTTCTGGATGTCCATCGTCCTGCTGCTAGATCGGTGAGTCGATTTTTACCGCACACTCTTGTGCTCGAGGCTCTCACTCCGTGCGTCGTAAGCGCTCGTTTACTGCGACTGCGGTTCCCTGTTCGATCATCCCGTGTTCAGTTGTAACTAGCACGTGTTTTGTGGTGGGTAATGTTGTCTTAGTCCCTGAGCACCAATCGGTGTGCGTGGTGCTGTGAGTGCAAACAAACCAAAGGTGAGGTAAAAAAATGGCGACGAGTCATGGTTGTATGCTCATGCTGACCTGTATGCATATTGAGTTGTCACCCCAATGGCAAGCTTTTGTCCGCACATGTCCCCTTCTGGATTTGTCTATCGCCACCCTCCTGATGCACCGGACCCCCCCCCCCCCCCCCCCCCCCCCCCCCCCCCCCCCCCCCCCC